ATTTTGAGCTGATAATCGATTATCCATAGTTTAATAAGCAAAACCTGTAAAGTCTCACTGGAATAATCGATTATCTCAATTGATAATCGATTATTCATGCATATTTTTGGCAGATGATGAACAAATAATCGATTATCATGAGTTGATAATCGATTATTTTGCGACATTGGGCATAATCTAGCCGTTGGTAACAACTCTCTTGACCTTGAAACTTATGGTTATAGCCGTTTATAGTCGTTGGAGAATTTCTCTATATATAGGAAGATTTAGAAACTCATCAAATCACCTCCAAGCTTCTCTTCTAAGTGTTTTTCATTAATTCCAAGCTCATTCTTGTTTCTTGCCTCTCTCAAACTCTTGCTTCTCTCAATACTCAATCTTTCTCTCTTCCAAATACTCATTTTTCCTAAATGACTTCATCATCCAAAAGAAATATTCCTACCAGAAGAAGATCAGCTCCTTCATCTCAACATCGTCCAAACTCCATTGAAGGATGAATCTCTGACGAAGAGAAGAGATAGGAGTTTCTTACATTCTAGAAAGAAAGAGGAATAATTTCTCCGAAATTCCTAAAAGGAGATCAATTCATCAACCGTGGATTCATCTTTCCAAATCTTCTTGAGAAACAAGGTATATTACCTTTTGTTGAAATGGAAGGAACGTATTATCCTAACTTGGTCAAGGTCTTTTACTCTCGTTTCAAATATCGCGATCATATAGCAATAACGAGAGTCAAATGTGTAACCATCATTCTTGATGATAACATTTGGGAGAATGTCGCAAAATTTCCCATCAGGGATGATGCAGTCAATGTCCTGATGGATCTTGATGACTTCAACAGAATTCTGGCATATCGCTCCTTTTTCTGCAATCCTGTTATGGAAATTGGAAGACAGCTTCTTGCAGGACCTTTAAAGAAAGAGGTACGCATGCTCCTTCATCTCATTGTCTGGATCCTCTGTTCTAGAGTAATCAATCATGCTCAATGTTTTACTGCTGATCTTCGTATAATACATGCGATTATGAACAATGAGCCAATTGATTGACCTAGCCTTGTTACTTTGACAATGTTCAAAGCCAAGCGACATCATACCTTCAGGATTTCTTATGATTTTCTCATCTCCCGAATACTAGAATACAGGAGAGTTAATCTTGAAGGCGAACAAAAGCTCTGGCGTTGAACTCAAATAAGATGCTTGACAACACACTTACTCAGCTGCAGATGGTCAATGTTAATGGAACTTACTTTCATAAGGATGAAGCGCCAAATGTTGTTGTTGCTGAAGATTTTGAAGATAATGAGATGATTGCTGCTGATGCTCCTGTTGGAGAAACTTCCTCTGGCGCTCATACTGAAGCACACTCCTCTATTGAAGATATGATTTTCAGTATGAACCAAAGAATGCAATACTTCTTTTCCATCTCTGCAGAATGACATCAGGAAATTATCCATCACATTTCGGATGTGAATGAACGTGTGTCAAATCTTGAAGACAGATTTGCCATGAAATTTAAAAGTGATTCCGAGAGCAAAGAATTTTATAATTTCTAAGCTTAGCAATTTCTCTTTTCTATATTTTGTATTGTTTTGCTCAACTTCAATAAATATCTATTTTTTGCACATATTGAGTTTTTCTACACATGTTAAGGGGGAGCTTATATTTTTTATTATTATGATAAAATAGGGGGAGAAAATATTTAAAGCCTGGTATGTTTAATTTTTTTTATGTTAGTTGTGACCGTGAAAACAGGTTATTACAAAGGGCTTTAAAACAGATTTTAATCATCATCAAAAAGGAGGAGATTGTTAAAGATACAAGGGTATGGTGCCTGAAGATTTTGATGATGCTTTAGAGACAAAAGACTTTAAGATTAGAAGACTCATATATAGTTGTATCTATTTGTAATAACTCTGTTTTATCATTTTGAGTCTGTAAAAATAGAGTCTAAAATAGCCAACACATAGTCTGTTCACTGAAAGTTCATTTTTATCTAAAACTCACTGTAATAATCGATTATCCTACCTCTCTTGGGGGTCTTTGAAAGTCTCTGGAATAATCGATTTATCACTATTGATAATCGATTATCCTGTCAAAATTATGTCTTCTACGGAAATGGCTATGTGATAATTGATTATCACTCATGATAATCAATTATCTATGTCAGTTATGATTTTGAATTTCAAATTTCAGACCTATTTTCGAAAATCCTAATTTCTAAACCCTAAAATCTCTATTTAAGGAACTCTCAGGCTCTCCGAAAAGACAACCTTTTTCATACTAAAGTTTATAGTTGTGATTGCTGAGAGAACTTTGAGTAGGGAAGAAAAAAGGGCTTTTATAACTTAGTGTAGGCTAGAAGCGATAAGAATAACTAAGTGTGCTTCTTGGTGGATTGTGTGTTGTGTCGTCTCTAGGAAAAACTGTCTTCATCCTTTGTGGCTTCAAAAGAAGTGTCAATCTCTTGTGTGACTCAAGAGAGGTGTTTTCTAATCCTTATTATTTGTATTCTGTAATATGTTAAACGATTGTTTTTAGTGACTGAGTTAATCCTCTTTTAGAGTGATTAACAACTAGACGTAGCGTCTTTTGATCCAAACCATTATAAATCTTTTGTGCAATCTTTTTTCCTTATCTATTTACATTTTAAGTGCTTTATTATATTATCATTTAATCGGTAAAACTTACGAAAAATTTTTAAAAAGGAAAGTTTTTATAAGGAACCAATTTATCCCCCTCTTGTTTTTTGTCCTACATGCAAACATTCCGCTGCGCAATATCAATACAATTTTGCATTAAGGATCTTAGAGAAGCCAAGTTCTTTTTGGGTTTAGAAATTGCACACATCCTCCAAAGGCATAATGGTTAACTAGCGCAAATATGTCTTGAAACGAGCTACTACTAACAAACCACTCTCTAATATAAGTTTCTTAGAAGATTAATAGAAACTTTTTTTATCTTACCACTACAAGGTCACACATAGCTTTTGTGGTGAGTTAGTTTAGTCAATTCTTATTTGCTCCTACAAATCGGCATCAGGTAACTACTCATAGAGTCTTTTGCTGTATCAAAGACTCACCTTGATATGGCCTTATCGATCCATCATCAAATACTCACAAACTTATAGAATATGTGACTCTGACTGAACCAATTGCATTGCTTTTAGAAAATCAATTAGTGGGTATTGTTTATACGGCAAGTCCTCCTTAATTTCATGGCAATCCATGAAGCAAACTATTACATTAAGATCATCATGTGAAGTTAAGTATCGTATACTTGTCGGAACAATGTGATGTATAATGAATCTTTTATCTACTACAAAATTTATGACTTAGCCTTCTCATTGCACTCTTTTACATTAACCACTCGTCAATTCATATTATTCATAATTCCAACTTCCATAAACGTACAAAACATATTGAATTAGATTATCATATTATTAAATACCTTATTCATCTTTTATTTATCCCTTGAATATAACTCGATATTTATACAAAATTTCTCACTATTACACCAATTAAATCAATTTTTTAAAAACTTAGAATAACTAATATACATCATCTCTTTTATGGACTAATACAAATGATCAAATTAATAAATTGATTTCTAATTAACATTTATTACAGTACCATATCTTTAATGATGTTAATTATTGTTCTCTTATTTAAATATATATATATATATATATATATATATATATATATATATATATATATTCCTCCAATAAATATATTAATATTTTATTCATTCAAATTTCTAATTGAGAATTTGTTACGACGTACAACATGATTTTACTTTGTTGTGGTTAAGAGTGAGATGAAAAGCGTTTAATTTTTCATGTCACAAAGACAACTTGAAATTTTTTCAAAAATAAATGAAAGTGATTTTTACTATTCAACTATCCAGAGTAATAAGTAATAATGAATGCGTACATGCACGTCTAGAACGATACAATTTGTTTAAAAATTTTATCTTCACGATTGATTTAAAAATACATTTATCCTACAATTGTATGTCAATTACATTTCTTAATATAATGTTATTATTTATTATTAATCTATTTTTTACGATCGGTTGATCAGACACATATATCATCCCCTTTTTTTCAAATGTAAAGATAAATTATTTTTTAATACTAAATGGTGATATTGATACCATCCATACCTTAATTAACAACTATAAATAATAACATAATAATAAATGATATTATTAATAATATTAATATATTAAGTTATAAAACAAATACTAATATAATAATAAATAATGATACTAATATATTTATTATAACAAAATATTTTTTAAAACCCGTTGTCAACAAAACATTCTCGTTAATCCTAGGATGTTAAGTGATACTAAACTTGCTTTTATACTTAAAATTTAAATTTTGTGACTTAAAAGAAAAACTTTAACTAAAAGAAAAGAAGATTTCACTAAAATTGACAATACAAGTTTCGCATAGATTTATTTTTTTTTAGTGTTTATTTGTCATCACATAAATTCGTTTAAATAAGTTTTTTTTTTTAAATATCTTTGGATTTCATGTCTGAAATATAATTTTGTAAATATGATTACTTTTGTATAAAAACTATTTATATATTTAATGATATTATACAAATTTGAGGGTTGGTCCCTCCCATGTTCTTAGTCTAGCATTGGGGAACACATGATGCGTAATGGAACTCTACATTGAAAGATATCTTCAACGTGTAAAATAATAGTGCCTTGGTTCCTAATAAAGATTATTCGGTAGGATATGGCAATCATTGTTGCCCATAATTCTAGAACTCCCATGCGCATTCAAATTGATCGTTCATGTCACAACAATGAAAAAAAAGAAATAAAAAAAAAATCGAAATGCACATGCAGACGAGGACAAAAAAAAAGTGAAATATGTGTATAAGGCGAAATAGGAAAGAAAAATAGGAGGTGGGTTTTAGCATCGTAAAAAGAAAGGAAAGAAAAGAACAGAGCCCCTGTCCTTCTTGGAGTGGTAGCTATCATATGAGTGGATCTGCATCGCATAAGGGATTGAGTGGAGCACTGAAGAGGCAGAAGAAGGTGGGTGTCGTGGGAGCAGGGATCAGTGGCCTCCTTGCCTGCAAATACATGAAAGCAAAGGGGTTTGATCCAATTGTTTTTGAGGCCAAGAGCAGCATTGGAGGAGTGTGGACCAAAACCTTTCACACCACCAAACTCCAGACTCCCAAACCTCTCTATCAGTTCTCAGATTTTCCTTGGCCATCTTCTGTAACACAAGACTTTCCCCACCACCTTCAGGTTCTAAACTATATTACAGCTTATGCCCACCACTTTGACCTGCTTAAGCACATCAAGTTCAATGCCCTAGTTCAACGAATTCAGTTTCACTCCCAAGACCCTGCTGTTGAAGCTTGGCATCTTTGGGGCGGAACAGGTCAAGCTTTCAACCCCAAAGCAAAATGGACGCTTTCTGTCTATAATACCCAAACGGATTCAACTCAGGTGCCAAAATTTAAGATTGATTCTTCTTCTTCTTCTTCTTCACACTAGTGCTTATCGATCCATCTATATTTATATTTATCTGATAATTTGTTTAGCTTCTCATAGCCATCTACCGATATGTGTGTGGTGCAGGTATACACAGTAGATTTTGTGATTTTGTGCGTTGGTCGGTTCAGCGATGTTCCAAACATTCCAGAATTTCCGCTAAACAAAGGACCAGAAGTTTTCGGAGGCAAGGTGATACACTCCATGGACTACGCCTCCATGGATGGTCGAAGCGCTGCCGATTTGGTCAAAGGGAAGCGAGTGACGGTGGTTGGTTTTCAGAAGTCTGCTCTGGATATCGCTATGGAGTGCTCAGCTGTGAACGGTGAGTACGTATTTAAACAAGAACATATTACATTCGTATGCAACGTACCACACGCACAGAGCCTACCTATATAATATGTAGATTTTCTTACGGTATATGCGTTTGCATTTGTAGGGGTTAAATATCCATGCACGGTCCTGTACCGGACAGAACACTGGAACCTCCCAGACTACCTTCCTTGGGGCATACCTTTGGCTTATTTGTATCTTAATCGTTTCTCAGAACTTATGGTTCATAAGCCTGGTGAAACCTTTCTGCTCAGTCTCATTGCCACCCTTCTTGCACCTCTGGTAACCCTTTCTGATGTGCAATTAATGATTTTTTTAATATTTTAATTATATTTCCCCGTTTTAAGCTGTAATGTGGTTGTAAGCAGAGATGGGGATTCTCAAAATTTGTGGAAATCCATATAAAATGGAAGCTTGGATTGAGAAAGTTTGGGATGGTGCCAAATCATAGCTTTCATAAAGAAATAAATTCGTGTTTGATCTCAACGGTTCCTGAGAAATTCTACGAGAAAGTAGAAGAGGGAAGCATCGTATTAAGGAAAGGTCCAAGGTTTTGGTTCTGCAAAGAAGGCATAGTGGTGGATGGAGAAGGGTCATCGGGTCTGAAGACAGATTTGGTGATATTAGCTACTGGGTTCGATGGTGAGCAGAAGCTGAAGGACATATTTGTGTCTTCCACTTTTCAAAACCTCATAGCCGGCTCTACAGATGCAACGGTTCCACTATACAGGTGAGATGAGATGAAATGAATTACATTTATATATTGTATAAAATGAAAACTAAACCATGTTTGGGTTGGGTTGTAATGAAATCAGGGAATGCATACATGCAGAGATTCCACGGCGTTCTCGGAAAGTGTTTCTAATCTGTATACCTCAGAGATGAGGTGCCGTTGGGTTGCGGAGCTTCTGGATGGTACATTTGAACTGCCAAGCATTGAGGAGATGAAGAAAGACGTGGAGAGATGGGCTGAATATGTGAAAACATACTCCGGGCAATACTTCAGGAGGTCATGCCTCGCTGCCTTGCACATTTGGTACAACGATCAACTCTGCAAGGACATGAAGTGGAACCCCCGAAGAAAAAAGGGACTCCTGGCTGAACTATTTCACCCTTATGGTCCCTTAGATTATTCTTCTTAATTTCTAAGTGTATCTCATCCTTCCTTATTTTCTTATTTCTATTTCATTCTCTACTAGTCGAATTCCAGTTTACACGGCAACTGGTTCCGAACACCTTAGATTTCAAATAAGGTCGAAATTTGAAGGGCAGTAAAAGTTTAAGTCTTGCTTCAATTTAGCTTCTCAAATTTCACCAAACCACTCCAAACACTGAATGAAGTAAAAATTTGTGTATTAAACTTATATATTTTTCTTTTACCCTGAATTAACTTGTGAAATATCTTTGAAAATTTCTTTCTCTTATATTTTTCTTATATTCACTTTGGATGCTCAAGGTGTGTGAGACTTTTAGTATCACACATGGTGAAAGCAAAAATAGTAAACACATTAGGACAAATACACACATCAGTAATAGACACCAAAGATAAAAGCAAAAAATACTAATAATAGAGAATGAGAAAGAGAAAATCACATACATACAAGAGAACTATATTGCATATATTCAAGAATGGTAACATATGCAAAAATGAGATTTTACGTCAGGTATTTAGGGCTTTTTACGTCGTATTTAAGACTGACGTTAAAACGGGAGACGTAAATTTACGTCGGACCCTTTAGCCTGACGTAAATTTACGTCAGTTATCAAGACTCGACGTAATTTTGCGTTGCATATACCACTAAACAGACGTAAAAACTTTCGGAAATTTAAAAAAAACAGCAAATTTACGTCGCATATGGTATATGCGACGTAAATTTGCTGTTTTTTAAAAAAATTGGGTTGATTTCGCTTTACAACTAAAACCCGCAAATATATATTACAACCAGACAGATCCGGAGGTTCAATTTTCTTTAGCTAGTAAATTAAAAATATAATATTATATAATTCAAACTACATAATAAAACAATATAATACAAACATACAAACTAAAAAATCTATTACAAACTAAAAGTTAATACAAACTAAGCTACCTAAACTACATAATACACACAATATAATATGAACAAGAACTTAAAAAATTATGTACTAGAATTGTTGAACAAAAAATTTTGCCCATTGTTCTCTAATTTGTGTAATATCATATTCCAGTAATGGAGATGGATCTTGAAATACCGAAACATTATTTTGACTCTTGTAAACGTGCAACATGAATAAAGTTAAATAAACTTAACTAATGTTAAAAGCAATTACCTCCGTCCAAGAATCAATTATACCCGCACAAACTATGACTCTCATCCAATACATAACATAGTAACCACATTCAAACGAGTCTGTTTGCTTATTACACTGAAATGATGAAAAAAACAAAATGTTATTTTCAAAATTTAAATACAAACAATAATTATGGTATTCACTTATATAAATAAGTTTCTAACCTTAGGATAAATGAACTGCAAAGTCTTTGTTCTAGGTTTTCCACTTAGAACATTAGTTCCAGTACACGATTCTAACTCGAAAAAAGTCATATATTATTCAATATGTATTTACAATTTAAAAACATAATTAATAAATAAAAGATAAAGTTACCCTTGTAATAAGCTTTTCATTTCTTGACTCGGTTTCCGTGTAATGAACAAAATCACACCACAGTTGTAATCCTGGATATGATTACAATTAACTCGCCAATGAGACCTACATTGTATGACATAAAAATTAGTTACAAAAATATAAATTAAAATACAAATTAAAATACTAACCCTTCAATGTATGGAGTCAAATATATATGTCTTTTTGAGTCACTCATCCATGTTTGCATATATTGTTGGATTCCAACCTTTGTATTTCCAGATTTTTGGATGGATTGAGGCTCGATGAATCTGTATACTTCGGATTTTTCTTGTTCCACACTCAATTTGTCAATGTACCTAAAACAATTAATTATAAGTTGAATATAATTATTATAATCTTAGAAACATAAATGAGAATGACTTACATTGCCCACAATTGTATGATGGAAATGTTTAACATGCAATTTCCCCCAACAATTTCTAAAGCATCGGGCAAGGAAATGTATAATGGAACACTGAAATTGTCAATTCCAAACACTCTAACATTCCATATTATCCGACATGGTCTCTTCCTCAACCGTGGTAATATGGTCAACAACATAGAGATGGGATCATCATCACATTCCGTCAAATCCTCATCAATAATAGGTTATTTTTTATGCTTAGCACGACGCAAGTCCTCCTAAACAAATGATAATAATTAATTAAACATTTATATAATTATAATACTAGAAAAGAGAAAATAGACAATATATATATATATATATATATATATATATATATATATATATATAACCTTGGTTTGTGCTGATAGTGGCATAACCAAACATCTTGGCCAAGCCAAGAATGTCCCGCTTGTCCGCCCCACTAATTGAATCTCTTCATTAGGAAAAGGCACTTGGAGCATTAACATCATGAACTTTATCAACTACTACTCGTGTCCAGTCTGCCTGTAGAGGGACACCATGGATGGTTAAACCACCCTCAAAAACTCGACCAATAGCCACTAGACGCAGGGGGTCATCTTCAACATATAACTCACACTGGTGTGATGCATCAGTCTGAGTATATTCTCCTGAAGGATCAGCAGTAGTAGCAGCACAACTCCCTTTAGTGCTGACTCGAACAACATCATGTTCAATTGTTTGAGGTGTTCCTTGAGTCTGTTGCTAAGAGCGGGCGAGAGATTCAATTTTCTCATCAAACTCTTGCTGCAAGGACTGCCTTATTTGATTTAACTTTTCTTCAAATTGCATCTCCATTTTATACAAGGCCTCCTGACTGCAAGAGTCAGTAGTGGTCCTTCGTGATGTTGGACCAAAGTAATCACGAAGGCCCTAGGATCCACCAGCACCACGCATACGTCCTGAGTAATATGGTTTTCCTATGGTCGTCGCCAATATATCTTGTCGACCATGAGGAATAAATGATCCTTGGGTGCTCTGCTCAACTAAATCATCCTACAACACATTAACAATAATTAAGTCATACACTAACTTTCACATTAGAATCAATTCAAATTGACATTATAACTTACGATTTTCCGAGCAATGATTCGTGCGGCACTCGAAGTCATTTGTCCATCGATTTTGTCCGGTTGCCTTCCACATCTCATAGCGAGGGGTGGAGATGCAAGGTCGGTAGACTCAACTCCTACCGACTCTTCTCTCGGCTTTCATGAGACGTTGCTCCAATAATGCATACCCTCCTCGTGACAATACATGGGGTGCATCATTCAACCTCCGACGTTGTTTGGCAAGCACGTCTTTTATCCCGCCAAGAGGGGTCCATTCGGCTGGCACAAAACTGTAACCAATCCTCCTCACTAATTTGATACTTTAGACAGGGAGATTCATCTTGAAAATTTCCAAATACATACTCCCGTGTCAAGAAAGTCTTAAAGTCCCTCCATCTAATGGCAATGGAGGATAAAATCTTCTTCCTCATCACCTCAGTGTTAGGAACATCAAAATTTTGCTGTAAAATGACCAATAAATGTTAAATTCAATTAATAATGATATATAAAGTATTCAACAAATATAGAAATACCTGAACATCCTACCACATGAGGTTCTTCTCGGTTTCTTCTACATCATCCCAACATGGAGTAGTAATCGGAACATGGTGTCGAGCTAATAGTCCCAAATAGCTCTTAAACTTAGCAGCATTTGGGTCAGATGCCTTACCAGAACGTGGATCAACTTCAACTTGAGTTTTTTCTCTAGCTACCCTCCTTGCTGTCAACCCCTTTAACCGAGTGACAGATCTACCTTTACCTCCACTTCCGCTCCTGCCACTGCCACTACCACTACTAGTACCAGATGTGGAATCCGACATATCCTGAAAAACAAAATAATATGAAGTCAACATACTTTATAAGTTTGAATAAAAAGAACTAAAAAATGTGAAGATAAACACATATTATGTTGGTATATTTTCCCATATCCCTTCATCATGATCACTTCGAATTGCATGTATGTCATCAACTTCATTGTCAAATATGTCATCAAATGGTCTACTTGAAAATGAAGGTGTTTCATGTATATCTAGAGACTCATCTTCATGAATTCCGTGCATGCTTCTTCCTTCAAAGACAATTGATCATCTCTCATTACATGGATCCTTGACATAAAATATTTGCCTCGCTTGATATGCCAAAATAAAAGGTTCATCCTTATACCCAACTTTACTCAAATCAACCAAAGTAAATCATAGGTCATCTGTTCGCACACCCGTATTCCCTTCAACCCATTTACACTTGAAGACAGGCACCCTAAAAGTAACATAATCAATTTCTCATATCTCTTGTATGACCCCAAAATAACTCATAGAAGCTGTGATAGGATTTTTGTCTTTAGAACTAGAAAAATGCATAGATTCAGCTTGAATTGTGACCCCACTATTTTATACTCTACCTTTATCATGTTCTATTTTTGAGTAGAAACAATAATTATTAATGTCATACCCACCAAATGTAATGACATCACTATTAGGCCCATGAGCAAGTCTCAAAAGTGTTTCTGAAACATTAATCTCAAAATATACCCTTTTTTTAAACCAAGAAAGGAAACTTTTGTTATGTTCATTCAATACCCATTTTTCATTCATTCGTGGATGTGTTGCCTTTATTTCGGTTATGTGTTGTGATATGTAAGAGATTATTTCATCAGTGTTGTTCAATATGTATAAATGTGTTTGGTCAACTTCTTTCCGACTAACATTTTTAATCTTTAAATTTTGAGTACCCTTACCTTCACATCTTCCATCATGTCTCATCTTAGGAATACCTATTGATTCTGATTTTGACATGTATCCTAAACAAAACTCAATGACTTCTTCTGCAATGTACCTTTCCACAATAGAAGCTTCGGCTCGTACTCGATTCTTCACATATCCTTTTAAGATCTTCATGTATCTCTCAACAGGATACATCCATCTAAGAAAAATTGGACCACATAACCGAATTTCCCTTACCAAATGGACTATCAAATGCACCATGATATCAAAAAATGAAG